AGAATCGCATGCCCTTACGCACTCTTAGTGAAAAAGTTTTCCTCCATTAGTGGAAAAGGAAGGGCGCCTTTTGCGTCTGGATATACTTAGCAACAGAAGGGCGCCCTGTACGTTGGGCACGAAGTATCTAGGAAACTAGGAAACTTGAATGGTTAAAAAGAAGGGCGCCGCCTACGTTGGGCACGACTTCCGCCTCATTTTTACAATGCGAGAACTCTATCTTGTATTTCTAGTATCTTTGGGTATATCAAAAATAGACCTTTCCGGAGTGTCAATCAAACTTAACAACTGACTAATCAGAACAGCGCTAGGAATACGCGCGCGTCTCACAAACACACGTGTTGTCCCACAAACGCACGTGTTCGCGTATGTTTTAACACGTACATGTTCACGTATGTTACGTTTTAACCAAGGACTTGTTTTAACCATGGAGGTATTATTGAGAAGGAGATCACTCGGCAAAGCTACGCGCACGCAGCGCTATGCAAATGAACCAAGATCAAAGTTGCCGCAGCGCGTAAAGAACGTTTGCGCGATGCCTTTGAAGTCCCATGTGTTCCCCGCCATCAAATTTTCAACAGGCATAGTTGAGCAAAATATTGAACATGACGAAATGGAGAGCACCTTCTTTTCTCAATGCGCACTACATACTGTCAATCACTATGGCTGCGCAATCTTTTTTATTTTGAAGCTGATACATTCATCTCTCATAAAATATCAAACGTATTAATATTTTCCACCAACAAAAGTTTCGAATTTAATGGAACATTTACATGACCTATAAAAGTATAGTATATTTCAACTTCAATTTTCATAAATTGGCCTAAATTCGCCCATTCTAATTTATACACATCTAGATGACTGACAAGACAGTGGGATGAATATGTAGCTGGTATCCGGGGGGTTCATTCACTGATGACATCGGCAAGCCGACTACATTCACTGAGAGACGCGCTTGGCGTTCCATAGAAATTACCGGCCGCTCAACTTGTCGGCGGCTCAACCGGTCATATCCCCTTTCACGCCAAGGACTCTACTACTAGGCCTAGTACTGAAATTGGTACGTGTCGGCCTGGCTATTTCATTGTTATGATTGTTTCTCCCATGGAGTGGAGGAAAGTAATTTATGCTTCTCCCATTGCAAAGTCTTTTGCAGTGACAAACACCCGGCCGATAATGCATTCCTGGCCTTAGGCGATACACACAGCGTGATCATTTTCGGCCTACGTTTGGACCTAAAATACAAGACTGATTTATTAGATTTAAATATTCTGGATTATTGTGTGGGGTATTAGATCATACAATAGATGTTCTAATACATCAAATAAAAGGGTCAGAATTCTTGGAATTGAATAGCCTTTTTTCATGAATCGGTAGGCATCATGAAGTGATGACCAACATTGCGAATCAGCGGTGTAGTGCGTAACCAACACAAATAAGATAAGCTTTTGGGCTGATTTTCTGACATCATGTTATTTAAAAAATCATAACTCCATAACGGGGCATCGTATCCAAAATTTTTTCCGATGTTAAGGGCCGAGTTGGTGTATGGGCCCCATCTACGCAGCTGCTTTCTGTATGGTGAGAAATAAAGATGCAATTTACACCTATCTATATACACGTCTACATATTCTATGGATACCTACGATTATAGTAGCCTTCGAATTAGACTTGCTTTAGGCCCCATAAAAAAAAATATATTTGTTTATCACCCTATAAAAGAATAAAAACTAATAAACGAGGTTTTTATTTATTTTTTGCTAACCCCGCCCACAGTTTATTAATGTTCGCAAGTAGGCCTAAATTAATGGTTAAGGACAAATTATAAAAAGTCATAAGGATGAAATCAAATTTATATTTTAAAAAAGATGTTTTTGTTGTACCAGTACATATTTGCAAGACATCAAGCTTTTCAAATGAAAAAGATGAAAAAAAAAACGATCCTTTGAAATATTTGCTAATTAAAAGAAAAAAAAAAAGAATTTCTCCAAAAGTGATGAGGGAGGGGGTGATAAACTAATAATTTTTTTTATGAGGCCTTATAGTAATTTTTAAAACAAAACTAATTACAATTAATATTAAGTTACATACTCAATAGAAACAAGTGGAGTAAACACAATAAAATAATAAACATTTTATTAAATTTCTTCCACAGTACAGCAAAAATGTCTTCAAAACCTGCTCATGTTTTCCTCTGGACTATTCCAAGATCGGCTTCGACTGCCTTCACAAGAAGTATGGAGGGTATTCCAAATGTAGCTATCTATCTTGAACCCTATGGATCTGCTGAGCATTTTGGACCAGAAGGACGTCTCATCCCGCAGAATACGCCGCCGACGGAAACTGAATATACATTCGACAAGGTTAAGCTTATGCTTGAAGGTGATGCACTAACTAACAAATATGTCTTCGTGAAAGACATGGCTTACGGTGTACATGGACGATATGACAAAATTGCAAAAGGCTTTAAACATTCTTTTCTTATACGTCATCCAGCAAAAACATTTTCATCTTATTACAAAATGATGAAGAACGGTACAGGTGCTAATGATGTTGACTCTGATTTTACAAACTGGCTCCCGGAAGGTCTCGCATATAAAGAGCTTTCGGATCTGTATATTCATATTGAGAAATTGGAGGGTCAAAAACCTGTTGTTGTAAATGCAGATGATTTAGTTGAAAATCCTAAAGAAGTTTTGATGAAATATTGCGACGCTGTTGGCTTGCCATACAGCGATGAACTCCTTAGTTGGGACCGTAAACCCAAAGTGAAGTGGAATATGGCACAGGCAATATCGGACTTAGATCCAATATTTAATTGGTTTTCAAATAGTTTAACTGCCGGGGGTTTTAAGAAATCTCTTTCTAAACCTCTTCCTGTTCTCAAAGACCTGCCAAAAACAGTGCAGGAATGTGTAGAGAAATCCATGCCTTACTACGATAAACTGAACTCTTTTTGTATTCGACCGTGAATTTAAAACTATAGCATTCAAATCTCAAACTATTTAACTTCTTTAATGTAATTAAACAAAGTTTTGGAAACTCGGCAAAGATCTTTAACAGGTCCAAATTTTCTTTGGAATTATCTGATTTTTTAGAAGAAAATTGAGTTAGGCAGAAACGCTAAGGGCAAATGTCAAAATTACTGTATTTGAAATTGTTTATTTTTACTATACTTTTTATCTTAATAACAATTCTTTTCAGAGAACATTATGGTATTGAAGTGAATCATTTCTAATAGTCCTCAATTATTTTATGTTTGTACATATCAATAAAATCATTACTGATCCATCTGAACTGCAAAATTATTAGGCAATCATTTTTTACCTTGGTTTTCTGGATTCTAATTTAGATTGTTCAAGGTATAATTATTAGTAGTAAGATTCTTGCATATACAGTAGTATTAAAATCAAGATAATACACTAATTATAATGATTGCAAACAAAGCAATTAAAATAATAAGAGGTAATACATTCGTCAAGAGGTAATACATTCGTCTAATTATCAGGAATGATAATAATCCAACAAAGGGAAATACATCCATATACTGTAGACGTCGTATTACTTATTATTTTGTCTAACCATGATTCAACTCATCTTAAAAATGTACATCTCATACTTATTTTGCATTTCCCAGTATTTACACAGCTTCCTGTGAAATGCGAGCACTCACTCAGCTCACTGCGTCCCTTGTTTATTTACTGAACTGGATTTCACTCCGCCTTTGTAGGGGCTGGAGAATGTTTAATTTTATTTTTAATTAAATAAGAAACATGCTCCCACTCTATAACAATCAAAGTTTCATTGTGGTTAACTTGCTTTTTTCCATAAAATTGCTACAAGCTTTCAATAATAATTGATACTGGAAGTTAACATCAATAATAATTTATCATTTTATATTTTCCTTATGTTCAACAAAAGAACTATATTTTAAATAAAGGTACTGTACATTAATACAATGTAAATTATCTAATTAAAAAATCTGCAGCTGCTTATTTGCCTGTAAACAATCTCTTTTATGGTTATATTATAATCTTATATAACTTCTGTTTTCTAAAGTCTGTGTCAAAACCATAATTGGTGGTTCTTTTTTTTTTTTACCAAATTTATAATTTCAGTATTGGAGTTAATATCACTATCATTTCAGTACTCAATATGTCACCATACACAAAACAATGAGATGATAATTCTACATCAAACCGAATTGTACATGCATATATCCTCTGTTTGTCATTGTCGTTTATGCTGCTGTCGTGTGTGTACACATGTGAGGAGTTTCAATGTGATAAGAGGCATCACTAGTGCTAGCTAGCGAAGCTGGGACTTAGGCCATATGATGCTAATTCTGTGGTTTCAAAACACCGTCCTTAGACTATCTTAGGATTGAATTAATCCTAACCTCTTTCATACAAACCAGCATAGGCTAGGCCTATTTGGTCCAGTAGACTACTGTACTATAAAGCCCTACAGAACCGGAAGCAGTACCGACATGTCTATCGACATCTTGTCTAGTAGAAAATAGTAGCAAGAATGAAAATAACAAGCCAGTGGTTATTTTACAGTACAGTATGTGCACATAGTTTGACGTAAACCTATGATTTCATTGTCTGTTCACAGTTAATGTATCCACAGCCTGTAATTTCAGACTATTCTAGGCGCAAAAAGGCGAGACTTCATTTTATTCCTTGTTTTGCGTACTTATTTTTTTAAAGATGTCAGAGAAGGGCGGAATAAAAATAAAATTTTGTTTTCTTATTTAGCAAATAGTTTTGCCAAAATCACCCAGATGGAGGAGAAAATAAGATTAAATGCTTCAAATTTATATAATTAGGAAGAAATACACATATCTTATCTTTGGAGATTTCAAGGCAGCGAAGGGCGTAACAAAAATAATTTAATTTCCACTTTTTCGTGGGAACAGTGGGTGCGCTAATTGGCCAAAAATAAAATTTCATTTTTATTTGGAAATCATCGATATTTGCAGTCGGCGGGTTCGCTAAACATGGTATAAAAAAGTCTCGCCTAACTAATAATGCTACAGTACTTGGTTACTTTCGCTTTGTTAGCTTAATTTCAATTCCAGCAGATGGACGCAAGACAATTTCACCATGAATCTTGAGGTCTTCAAATTCCTGAACTGCTTCAGCTTTGAATTTTCGAAATATGTGGGCTAGTATCACTTTCTCCTCAAACATGGCAAAACGTTGACCTACAAGGCAACAACATCACATTACCTGAACTGAGGCTATAATTAAGGTCATGTTCATTACAAGATTCATTTATTACTGTGATCACCATACAACAGGGAATGGTAATCACAGGATATTGGGGTTGATTCCTGATGGGAGCAATAAATTTCCTTTTTTCTCAAACCATCATAACATTTAATATATTCAATTTTCCAAATTGAAGGGATAAATGATTCAATAATATTTGTTTTACCAGTGAATGGTGAGTTTATTTTTGTATGGGCCACTGTTATTATGGAACCGGGAGCAACATCTATTGATCTACTGTCTCGGAACCTTCCAGCCTATAGCTAATTCTAATACCCTATTCAGACTAGCATCACATTGCTATCAGTTGTAGCAATTGTGACACCAAATCGCAGAGTAAAATCGTGTGTGAAAGCTCACCAATAGTAGTCGATAAATAATTGATATTGCAATTGTTACCCGTTGTGATTGGGTACTACAATCTTTATTACTCCCAATTAAAACAGAATCTGATCATGACAAATCACAATGAATTCCACAGGCACTGTTTGGCTGAAGTCAGTCAACATAGACCTAGCCACTACAGCACTAGGCCCTAGATTTAGTAGAATGTAAAGTTTTTGTGTTGGTCTGAAAGCACTTGTTGATTGCGATCTGGAGTAATCAATTTTGGATTACCACCGATTACATCGCAAACCAATAGCTACAGAGTGTAGTCTGAATAGGGTATAAATCATTTTTTTTCCCTCACCTATGCAATTCCGTGGTCCAGCCGAGAATGGTACATATGCAAATGGATGCCTGTCAACAGAATTTTCGGGTAGGAATCTCTCCGGGTTAAACTTCTCTGGCTCTGGAAAATAGCGTTCGTCTCGGTGCAGGGCGTAAGTGAGCACAAATGCCTGTGTTCCTTCAGGTATTTCACAACCATCTAGAATTGATAACAATAATAAAAATAAATACGATTTACATCGCACACATCCATACCCAGAAAGTGCTCAAGGCGCTAGAGACGGAACATGAGGGGGAAAAAAAATGGAATTTGAAAGCATAAATGTCTTAAACTAAACAGGAAAAATAAGCAGAAGAAACCAGCATCACCACTTTGTTTACCAGCACTTTGAAGCCCTTGCTTTATTTTTTTATTTTATATGTTTTTCTTTTCAATGTATTTATGTGTAGGCCTATATATGTATAGTTTAAGCAGATAGTAGCCCTCGATGGCTTATGAAGCAATAAAGTGAATTGAATTGAATTGACCCTTGATTCTTCATGTAACAATAAAATGTCATATTACTTCTGCTCTGGTATAATAACAATTTATTATTTGTACTTACTCAATGATAGGGTTTTGTCGGCTGTACGCCCAAATATAGGTACAGAGGGAAATAAACGAAGTGTTTCTTTGACAACACATTCTAGATATTTCAAATCTTTGAAGTCGTCAGTGGTGACCGGTCGATCACTGCCTCCTATTGACAAGAAAATATTTGTTAGCAATACTAAAGATTCAAAAATATTATATGCCTGATAATAATATTTATCACACAAAAGATTAATTTATATATTGTAAATATTAACTTGTCTATACAAAAAACATAAATTAATTATAAATATTTTTTGAATACAAAACTGTTTAAAGGTTAAAATCAAACTCTATAAATCTATTTTTTATAGAAAGATAGCTAACATTTATGAGAGATAAAATATAGGTTTTGAAAATACTTCTCACCAAATACACTGTCCAATTCCTCATGAAGACGTTTTTGAGCTTCTGGATTGGAGCCTAGCATATACATAGCCCAGTTAGCAGCAGCTGCAGTGGTGTCATGACCCTAGATAAAAAAATTAAATATGAGTGTTTACAGCAAGCAGTCCACAATCAATTTATTCCATTAAAAAAATGGAAAAACAGTTATGTTTCTATTTTATAGCAATCTGCATATCAGTATGTTTAATTTATGCATGCTTATAATGTGTTTTAATGTATTAATTTATGTTTTGTGGTTAACAGCATTTCTGTTTTTGAAGTCCCTTGTTTTCTCTTCAAGTTTCATTTTTCATTTAAATATGAGTGTTTACAGCAAGCAGACAAGTTTCATTTTTCATTTAAATTTAATTTATGTTTTGTGGTTAACAGCATTTCTGTTTTTAAAGTCCCTTGTTTTCTCTTCAAGTTTCATTTTTCATTTAAATATGAGTGTTTACAGGAAGCAGTCAAGTTTCATTTTTCATTTAAATATGAGTGTTTACAGCAAGCAGTCCACAATCAATTTATTCCATTAAAAAAATGGAAAAACAGTTATGTTTCTATTTTATAGCAATCTGCATATCAGTATGTTTAATTTATGCATGCTTATAATGTGTTTTAATGTATTAATTTATGTTTTGTGGTTAACAGCATTTCTGTTTTTAAAGTCCCTTGTTTTCTCTTCAAGTTTCATTTCCTGCTTGTGCTTATTAATATAATTTATTAATTAGCACAGCTTTATACTCTTTGAACTTTTACCTCAAACATGAAAGTATCTACTTCTTCACGTATGTCATCAATTGTAAAGCTTGGATCTTCATTTTGCATATACAAGAGTAGATCTAGAAATGCAAGTCGTTTTCTCTTTCCAATATTTCGAGGTTCCGCAGATGAAACAGCACCCTCTGCCTTCTGTTTTGCTAGCTGTTCCCTCAATTCTGCTCCATGCTTTTCAATTACCTGATATTTAAAACATAAATATTCACTTGTGCCTTGCATGAATAAAAACAAGACTCCCTGCTCCCCCACCCCAGGGTCCATGCCAGAACCAGAGCAGAAATACTCATAATGAATGTCCATCAGTATTCTATTCATCGCAGACCCTATATAGGGTCTGTGGATCCATAAACATTAAAAACTTAAGGCAGGCACACACTTCTTTGAACGACTGATAGCTGCTGAATCCAACTCTTCTCCTTGTGAGCGCTAAACGATGTGATGGCGTCTGCTGATTGTCATTAAGAAGGAGCTTATTGCGTGTGCGTCGTGGCGCAGCGTTCTCTATAGAATCGCAATGGCTTACGACCGTCGGCCGCAGTGGGCGGCTGGTTTTACATACCCTTATTGTCATGCCGTGAAGAATACGCAAACATTCAGCATGTTGTTTTCCAGATGACAATCGATTATAAATGAAGTCGGGCCACAGCCAGGGGCTTTTTTGTCTCTCCTGAAGCAACTCAGACAATCTGTAAAAAGTTAATATATAAGCAATATACTAAAATTGAACATAAATCTATAAAAGTCCACTCCATAGGCCTCATGGATTAACAGAGCATTATATAAATGATGAGTTACTTATTGTATAATTTATTAATTAAAATATACTTCTTGAAAATTCTCATTAAGATCAGAGATCACAGGCATGACAGCCACCAAACTAATTTTATGTTCATGCACATTGAAAAATTGTTGCAAAAATAACTTGAACACATTTATTTTTTCAAATATAATACAATAAAAAGAATGTTATTATTTTAAAATAAACTTAACAAATGAACATTTTTTATTTTCTTATTTTAATTTTTTTTTTTAAATTTATTTACAAAGTTTAATATATTGATGTACTTAAAAAAATATGTATTAAAATAGCATATTGGAATATTGAGACAGGGAGAGGAACAACCTTATAATAAAAATGTTTGCTCACTTCAATACTGCCTTTACATATTCATTTTCCATATCACTTTGAGCATTTACTGATTCACCCATAGCAGTCTCTGTGAAAGTCAAAAGTCAAAGTAAATGGCAATATCCATGGTTATATCATAAAGGGACAAACATCAAATACTGATAGCTTAACATATGTGGCAAAGACAAGCCAAACCAGTCACTCGTCGCAAATCGTGTTTCAGAGAAAATGGCCAAAACATGCTGGAATGTCAAAATTTTAAAAATCTATTTTATTGCACTAAACTAAACTTTATATATCTACACATCATTCTATTCTGTTATTTTCCCCATTTTCAATGTTAAAACAATACTTTTAAGGATTTAAAGATAGTTTCTGCATGAGAAATGCCTGAAATCATTAACTTTGACGACTAATTTCTCATATATTGTTCTTTAAACAGCTGTATGGTTAAACAATTGTAACTTCATAAGGAAATGTCCGATTTGAATGATTTTTTTTCCATTTTATAGCTATTATTTTACTCTCTAACACTGTATTAATAACTCAAAATCGATTTTTGCGACAAGTGACTGGTTTGGCTTGCCTTTGCCACATACGCACAATCAAACAATTTTTCAAATTCTCTTTAATATGTTTAGTTTATAGTGTAGAGTACTATGACCTGGACCTATTTGCCACTACAGTATTTGCCTGTATATACAGCTGGGTTTTTTAATGTGTATGACCAGGTACTGCCCAAAGCCCCTAGAAGGGGGGTCCATAGGGCCAAGCCCTAGAAGGTCAGGCAATTTGGGGCTTGCCATCCCAAAACCAGCATACTCAATATAAAACTAAGTAATAAGCTTATACTTTTGTGCAGAGAAGCCATAATACTTTTACTTAATATAACTTTGGCAATAAGTTGAACGATACTAGGAATTGTTTATTCTGGGACCAAGGCTCTAGTTGGCCACTTGGTTTGTCTCCCCCCTCCCCCACACCCTGTCAGAAAATTTATAATGATTTAATTCTGATTTATGTAAACAGTTGTTTAATTATTTAGTGAACACACAAATACGATTACAGTAACCCTACCACAGATTATGTCCAATACACAAGCTGTTAGCAAGAAGAAAACATTAAATTGTGTTCCATCTGCTTTCTGCTCTAAGTTTGTGACAAGTATCTCAGCCTGTTCATTGAACACATCCATGAAATCATTCAGAATCTTGAAGTGAAATGTCGGTGTCAACATCTTGCGGCGTGTTTGCCATTTTGAGCCAGTGCTTTAAGTAGAAATGTAGGTGTCTGTTATAAAAGTATGTAATTAGACTAATCTTTAATTTTTTTTATGATTTTTAATTTGTTTCTTAATATCTTCACATTATGATTTGCATAAAGATATATATTTGTGGTATGCTGCTGACTTGAAATTGTTAATCTACACATAACATTACTAAAGTTACACAGAAAGTCCTGGTCAGTCTTGGGACAGTCTAATAATACTGTTCTTGCTATGGTTTGTGTAAGGGGAGGGGTGGCCAATGTCCCCTACACTCCAGAATAATAAAATAGATTCAGGTAAAGATCAAAAACTCTTTAGAGTGTTAAAAGAGTTGCTGCAAAGGGGTGTGGTTGCCATTTTTAATATCTTTTAATTTAAAAAAATGGCAACTTTTGCAGTTAATATGTGAATTGGGCACATGCCCTTCAACTGCCACTGGAAACGAATATTATTTCACAGGTCAGTTGTGATTAGATTTTAAATTTTGTATCCATGATGTGAATAATACTGCAGTAACCACCACATGGCCAAAGGCAATGCCAGTGAAAAATAAATTTATATTTTAGGATGGAATACAAATTAAGCATTTTTCAAGGATATTTTAAATATGAATGTGTAACTAAAAAGAACAAAGATGATACCTGGTAAGAAGTCCTGTGCCAAGCCATGGATGAAGAAATGTGTACATGTATGATTTAGTTATATGCTTGTTTGACTTCAAAATTGGCTGCAAAGAAGATATAGCAACAAACACAAACTGTATTATTAAATGTTAAAATTGAAAAATATGACTTTTTTAATAGAAATAGAAGCAAATGCAAGTAAACAATTAATATAGGTTTATGTGCACATCACAACGGAGTTCTAAAGACAGGATAAGACTAATAATCTTTTAGATAATAACTTGGAAAAAATCTCATTTAAAAAGCTATTAATGAATATTAATAAATACAAAAATATTATAATATAAAAAATAAAAATTATGATTGATATGACAGATGATATGAACTATAGCTTACTAATACATTAGACCTACTTTCATAACTTAAACATGTGTCCTTCTTGATCAAACAATAACAAATAGAAATGTTTGCTTAAAAATGAGATCTATGATGGTTATTAACATTATGTTTACAAATCAAAATTGTACAAATATTGCACACTATCACTACCCTTAGAATATTATCATGCCTGCAACTTACTTCAACTGACTCTGCTTTGAAAGTAAGTACGCATGGAAGGAATCCAAGCCAAATTCGAAACAATCCAAAATGTCGATGATTTTGAGTCCATCTCATTATCTGCATAAAGAAAGCTGTAAAAAAAAAAAAAATAAAATAAAAGAAACAAAAAACAAAATCAAACAGAATTTGGCTTGGTTATGGCCTAGGCTAGCTTCTTAGGCCCGGACGCATTATTTTTCCCCCCATACACTTAAGACAGAAATACACAGGGCACTATTTTAGGTCAGTTAGGTGAACTGATATAGAGTACCACAGCTGTGTCGTCACGAAGCCAGGTGGCGCGCTCTCTGTTGTCAGCAGACATTAGTTACCCTTCATTACACCTGAATGACTTCAGGCTTTCTGGAATAGGCATTTTAAAATTTACTATTTTACCATCAAAATGTACTAAAAACACAAAAGCTTGCTTGCTTGTGTTATCGAACACAGATTTAATCATCAACTAAAATTTACAAAAAGTAAGATACAACATCTTAATAATTAAGTTGGATCAATGGTGTGTCAGTGAAGAAAATGGTTGAACGCTTTTTGCAACGATAGCAAACACGTGGTATATTGATGTAACACTGTAGTACTCTATGCATGAATATGCGTACCAGACCTCCACCTCACGAAACAGAGTTCAGTGGTGTATCGAGTAAGTTACAGTGTGGATGAACACTACGGAGTAGGCCGAAATCTGTATGATAGGCCTTTGTAGTTAAGACTGTGAGTGTGAAAATTAATGGACTATAATTGTAATTAATATCCCTATGACTAGACATAGTTTATGTACAGCATGGTCTTTCAAGTATAAAAAAAGCACAGTAATATTGCCATGACATGTGTTGTATCAATTGTATGCCCCTATAATAGTACTGATTCTGAAGGATATAAATGTTTAGAAATGCTCGGAGACAAATTACGATTACTTCGGACACAGTTGCTAACTCTTAAAATTAAACATTTTTATGAGAAAAAAATCCCTCTTATATTACAGATTGTGAACATATTTCCAGTATGCTTTTACATGATTCATTAGCTGGTAAATTAAGGATTTTTTTTTCTGTTATTAAGTGAAAGGTTTTTTTTTTTACTTCCATCTGATTTCGATCATACAGTATTAAATAAGCTATTCAGTTTTTTAATTGGGTAGACAGCCTTTAATATAAACAGTACGACATATAGAATATCGTCAGATTTGGTATAATCAATGTTTATTATTGCTATATAAATCTATGCCTATTACTTTCATTTATATTGAATATGAACAAAATATTTGTGAGAAATCAACATTATAACAAACTGTACATAGAATTTTCTTTTAAACCCATTCCCTGGTATATTATTTTATGTATGCCATTCTGAACTTTACATTACTGAATTACTCAACTATCCGACCAGATTCAACGGTGCTTTGTGCTTTCAAAGACCATGTGGATTATCAAACAGTGTCTAGGCATAGTCATTCAATGAATTTAATTTACTTAAAACATACAATATGAAATGTGTTCCATACATCGTCGCCGAAACGGTCCAGGAACAGGCCTATTTATCTAGCATACCTACAAACTTAGGCTAGGGTTTCCTAGGGTTGCTTACCATTTGCTTCCCTCTCTAATTGAAATGCATGCCCGAACAAAGGATGCGATTTCGGTCCAGGAAGTTGACTTATGAGTTGCCATGTTTTAAATAATGGTCTTAGAACTACCAAACCTCCAAATATTAAGCAAATGATCAAACTCAAAGACACAAAACTTATGCCCACTCCTAACATCTTGGCCAGGTCCAAACGTACGGGTATGAATCGTGGCCCAATGTTTATCAACCTCCACTGATGACATGACCTCTGGTGGTCTGTCGGTCAACATTGCCATCCAGGCTTCGGAATATTGCATTATATAATGGGGTAGGTCTAAGCCTACATTTTATAAGTGCACCTATATGTGCACACATCTACATCGACACAATCCTAAGTTTAATAGTTTAGAAATGTATTCCCACAAAACATACAGAAAAAAGAGAAAGATGCAGTTTAATGATATTGAAAGACACTAATTGTATTAACATATCCCTATAATCATAATAACGAACCTAACCTGACATTAATGGAATTACTGTACCTTATCATTTTGTTACGTTTTATTTAGGTGACTTTGACTTCATGAGTTTGAAGAAAGGCCTATTGTCGTTATAACTCATGTACATTAGGCCTAATAAAAAATTTAAAAAAAAAACATTTCTCCCGTACGATTGTTAATTAATTATTTAATAACAGCGTATCCAAAACTATTTTTTAATGGACAAAACTTTCAAGTATTCAAGTACTTTTATTCATAAAATTCACTAGTTAAAAAAAACTATTGAACAAATACAGTAGGAATTAAATCTTATTGGATGCTGTTGTCATTGATGTCAACAGAGCTGGAGTGGTGGAAGGAAGATTAAGTCCCACTCTCCCACCCCGCGTTTAAGGCCAACCACCAAAACAAAATAACTTTTTTTTTTCTATTAAATTAAAAAAAACAAAACTTTTTGGCAAAATACGGTACTTTCAAAAACTTAGAAACCAAATAACATTTTTAGAACAGTCTAAAAATCACGTTCAAACTAGCGTTCCCGATATATTATTATCTCTTATTGTTGTACATTAGACTGTACCATAGTCCAAATTGTCGAATGGTTCTCTACGTTTAGTATTATAACAGGGGCCATGTTTATAGATTGAATAAATTAGGACGTCCAATGATTATGCCAAAACATTTGTGCACTATGTGTGTGTTGGCCACATTTTGGGAAAATCCAAAAAGTTGGTAGGTTGGTATAGGAAAAATGTCTTTCTTTTTTTTGACCGTCCAAATATGTGTTTACGCATAGTAGAAAATACACAAATAATACAACAATTTTGGATTTGCATCACGTACCATCCAGCAAAATATGCTATCCTTTGGCCTCCTAGCCCCGTCAATGCTATTCCAGCCTTATTTGCTCATAAAAAAAATATTGTTTCGTAAAATTTGGGTCGGTCGGGCGTGGCCAACAAAATAATTGTTTTTGTCCTTATGCATTAGGGGTGGGAAACAATTTTTGGAAGACAGTGGCTTTATTTGACAGTATGGGCCGCGAGAGTTGAGAAACGCCCTGATTTGTATAAATCCGATTTTTTTTTATTCAAACAAAATGATCGAAATTGCAACGCAGGGGCTGAACTGAATATTTACAATAAAAACAGTTAAATATTAATGTAAACATTAATTCATATAATATTAATATCTAAAAAAATGTTAATTAAGCATGCAAAACCATCAAACATTAAAAAGTGAAAATAAATTTAAAAAAAAAATGTTAATCAAACATTAGAAAAAAACATCAAACATTAAAAAGTGAACATGAATCAAAACACAGACAACATTAAAAAGTATTAACAATTTAAAATAAAACATTAATAATAAATTATAAACAGCAAATCGTTAAGGAGTGGGTGGGGAACTATCATCGTCGACAACGACTAGTGATGTTCAACTACGCAAGTACAAAGTTATTCGACTTCAATCTATCACGCAAGTGGTATATATTTAACGGTGTTTGAAGATTCAAAAGCTAATATAAAAATCATACCATGTCTACCATATTTGTAGTATAGGTGTAATTTTGCTGTATACGAAATTAAGGATGCCCTTGAAAATGACAAAAATATGAACAATATTTTTACAAATTATTAACTTGAACATAAAAATAAATTATAGAATTAAAAATAATAAAACACTTTCAGTGACTTGCAGTATTTCTATCATTTTTCGCTGTAAAATTATGGGTAAATATTTTTAAATACACATTTCTGTTCAAGTTGATAATAATGTTTACGTTACTTATATATATA